ACTAGGTGGAGGTGGCCGTGGCTGGGAGCAGGGAAGCCCATTGGTGGCCCTTGCACTGGTACCAGGGTGGCAAGACAGGGCCCATAGTGAGGCCCCCTGGAGAGAATTGAGTTGTGCAGTTATAGACAGAGTAGAGGTGGCCACGATATGGTGGTCTTGGTGAGGGAATGAAGAGGGAGGGAGAGGAATCTGGGGCGGCACACAGGGTGCTGATGGAGGGCAGAGGGAGCAGGTAGAGGATGAGCCAGAATGGGGACTACAGGAAGAGGAGGGGCTGGGGGTGAGGGGGAGCGACTGTTGATGGAGTCTCTGGATCTCTAGGCCTGGCCTGGTTTCTGTCTTTGTGTCAAGCTCAGAGAGGTGTTCTCTGCTACAGAATTACAGATTTAGATAAATTCTCTCTTAGTACTTTGAATTTTATCTTTTTGGGATTTTTATTTTTACATTAAAATCTGGATGAATTTGTTGTATTTTCATGAGTTGTGAGTTAAAGATTTAACTTTCTTTTCCCTAAGGATTGATGAAGTGAAGTCGCTCAGTCGTGTCCGACTCTTTGCGACCCCATGGACTGTAGCCTACCAGGCCCCTCCGTCCATGGGATTCTCCAGGCAAGAATACTGAAGTGGGTTGCCATTTCATCCTGTTTATCCTTGCCCTCCTGATCTGTAATACCACTTGGATCTTACAGTAGATTTCCATGTATATACCTGAGTCTGCTCCAGGATTCTCTGGTGTGTCCCAGTGAATTGTTTTGTACTACACTAGCACCATATGTCCTGATCACATTTTCCTTAAATATTGGGTTGGCCAAAAAATTCATTTAGGTTTTCTTGTATGATGTTACGGAAAAACCCAAGTGAACTTTTTGGCCAACCCAATATATCTAATCGGTGCTAGTGATAAGGTATACTTCACACTTGTTTTTTTTCCTCTCAGAATTTTCTTTGCTTTTTTAGGATGGCCTTCAAAATCATTGTGTCAGGCCCTGCTCCCTTGGACTGCACAGTGGGAGCTGGAAACACCAGTGACCCCAGTGGGACCCTTTGTATTCATCAGCACCAAATATACCAGGAACTGGATTTGATGAGGCTGGACTTCCTTATTGGTACAGAAATCACATGAGGTTTCTTTAGGAAGACGCCTCTCATTGCTATTGACTTGGGGGCATCCCCCATTCTCTGGCCCAAGAATACTCCTGTGGACTCTCAGAGCCCCTGTGTCCTTGCTGCTGTGGCTGCTACAGCTTCCAGCTATATGCTCCCCACTGTAGACAAGTCAGCCTGTACTGGGGTTTTTTATTCTTCATCTTGCAGGGAATCCTGTGTTCAGTTGTTGCTGTCTCCAAGTCTTCTCTTCTCTAATGATTTCCTGTAGGTTAGTTCTGGGGATCTTTCCTTAATTGACTCTTTTTTTTTTCTTAATTGACTCTAAATGTGTTTTACTTCTAGAGAATTCTTCATAATTGCCAGCATTGTGATGGCTTCTTCCTAGTTTCCTCCTCTTTACATTTGCTAGGTTTTTTTTTTCTTAATTAAGTGACTTTTCTGGGGTCTGTTTTTATTGAGGAGTAATGAACATAAAGTCACAAATTCTAAGCATACATGTCAGTGAGTTTTTTTCATATCTGTACACCATGGAACTTCCACACTGATCAAGGTAATCCTTTCCGAGTTAAGAAGCTGTTGGTGGGAGGTTGCATGGAGAGGGAGATCACGAGTGTGTCCCCAGGCTGCCATCTTTTTCTAGAACTGTCTTTAAAGAGGCTTAAGGAAGGAGCCTCACACCAAGACTATATAGTGGTGTGGAGAGTAGAATGGTTAGGAGTGATGGGTCATGGTTTGGTCATCCCCCTTACCAGCCATGGGACTTATGTAGCTCAGTGTCAATAACTGTAAAATGGGAGTAGGTGATAGCTCTTACCTCACTAGCTTGTCATGAAGATTACACAAGGAAGTACCTGTCAGTACCCCCAAAAATGTTAATTGTTGTTTTTGTTGTTATTAATAACGAGGAGGAGGCGGCAGTGGTTCTTAGTGAAGGGTACACATCAGAATCACCTGGGAGCACTTTTGCAAAAATATACATGCTCAGTCTGGCCAGATGTACTGAGTCAGAGTCTAGATTTTGAATACCTCCCCAAGTCATTCTGTTGCTTATCTTGGTTAAGAACCACTTGGCTGGAGGCGGCCATGACAGGACACAGGAAGATCAGTGGGTGGCTGCTGCAATAGTGAGGGCAGGAGGGGATTGAGCTGGACAGATTCAAAGCAGAGTGGAGAGGTCGCCAGGATGATGACCTTGGGTGGGGAGCAAGGAGGGAGGGGAAGGAGTCTGGGGTGACTCACAGGATGCTGACCTGGATGGCGGCTTGAGTAGGTGGCGGATGAGCCAGAATCAGGAATACAGGAAGGGGGGTGGGGAGTGGGCCAGAGATTGCTATAATTCTTCTTGGGATTGAATGGAGGCTTCTGGTGAAAACACCAAGCAAGTATGTGGATCTCCAGGCCTGGACCAGTGGTGGTTTTCAGGGAGTCACTTGTGGGAAGAAGATAGATCAAGCCATGGGCATGGTCATAGAGTGAATGTAGAAGGCAGAAGAGGGCCAAGTTCATACTCATTCACCTCTGGGAAAGCGTGGGTCTATCTACTTCTTACTCCCTCCCTCGAAACAGAAATGCTTATTTCTCATGTAACCGTCCCGTTGCTGAGGGCTGCTGGGAAATAAAATCAGTCTTCTCACTTGAGGATGAGTAATCACTGTGGGTCACTTCCTTTCCTCACAGGTCTCAAGGTTTTCCTCATCTGTTGATCGAAGAGCTTTATCTTCCACCAGCATCCTCAGACAGCACATTCTTTGGTTTTCTTCAGGCCCTTGATATCAACCAGTTATGCTTTAGTAAGAGTTTAAGCCATTCCAGTCTCTCCTAGGCCTGGTTCACCTCACTCATTACCACAGAACACTACCCATACCTTTCCTTCTGCCCTGCGGCTCCCTCTATTCCTGCTTGTGCCATGGTAAGCCCTGCCTCCTCCAGGAAGACTTCCCTGACTCCCATCCCTTCCAGGTGAAGCCAGATGTGGAGCTCTGAACAGATTCCCACTGGCTTCCCAGTTGGATATGGGGGTGGCAGGGATAGGTCTCAGGAAGATGGGTCTCAGGATGGATGTGCACAAGGTCACGGCCTTTCAAAATTCCTTGATCACCACTTACAAACAGATACATAAAACTGAAGCAAAAGTTTTGTAAAAATAACACACACTGTGTGATCCATTTGGGTATTTTTTCTGTTCCATTTATTTTTTAAAGAAATGCTAGTTGCAGCCCCTTAAACTGATTTCACAACCCAGTCATGGGTCCCAACCCAACAGGGTGAAAAATGCAGAGTAAGATCATTAGTGCTCAGAACCACTCCAAACACAGCCGAGGGGCCCTCTCCAAATGTTGCTCTTTGGTTCCTCCACCAGCGGGCAGATGATGGCGCTGGCGGCCATGTGCGCCTGGTGGCGGTCCACTGGGCAGTGCTCTGTCTGCTCTCTCTGTGGAGTCTCCTTTCAGGGCCCCTGTTGGTTGTGCCATAAAGTGGCCATGGGCACAGATACTTTGTCAGTGCTGAGAGGTGGAAGTCTATGAAGCACTCCAGACGCCTGACAGCAAGATGCCAGCTCAGTGTCAAGTGTCACAGGGCTGTGTATCTCATCCATTAGATGAGACTCCTCGTGGAGGCAAAGCTTCCAGCCCCTCTGGGCCTCATGGTGTTGCTCACCTGGCTCAGTTGCTCAGTCTTGTCTGACTCTTTGAGACCCCATGGAATGTAGCACACCAGGCTCCTCTGTCCATGGAATTTTCCAGGCAGGAATACTACAGCAGGTTGCTATTTCCTCCTCCAGGGCGTCTTCCCTACCCAGGGATCAAACCTAATTCTCTTGCGTCGTCTGCATTGGCAGATGCATTCTTTACCGGTAGTGCCAGCCAGGAAGTCCTACTCACCTAACAGGGCTACAAATAACAAATAGAATAAGAGCAAAACATGGGGCTCTTGCATACATTATAGTAACAACGATAGAAGTGATATCTCTTACTGGCCAGAGGGTGGATGATAAAGCCATCAATACACAAGGAACATTCCAGGTGCAGTGACTCTTGGAGCTCCCTCTCCCTCTGGAACTGGAAGTTAGTGAAAACAGAACCTGTAGGAGTAACTACCTCAAAACCCCTGCATTTAAGCCAGGTGCTTTATCTCTCTGAGAGCCTCAAAGTCTGTTGACATTTATTTAGTACACTTTTCTAAGAAAAGTGGCTATCTGATTTCTCTACCCACTGAAAAAGAAAATAAATTGCCTGGACAGGTGTTGGTGGTAGGTCTTTCCTAGAGAAAGAGAGATGTGTAGGTAACAGGAAAGTAAAAGCCATGGGGAGGGAGAGAGAAACAGTAAACAGTAACCACAATCATATGGTTATCTCATTCCTTAGGGAAAGCTCCTAATAATGACCAGTGGGAAAAGGGTATTTTTTATTTTTATTTTTTTGGAAAAGGGTATTTTTTAAAGCATTAGAAAACTGTGGGCCACATTTGAGCAACCACTTTAAAGTGGTTAAAATAGTGTTTTGGCTGTTGAAGTTTCATTTTTCAGAAAACATTCATGGGAACCTCAGTTATTCTGGAACTTAGGTGCTGTTGAACTGCCGCTGATCAGGGCTAGTTCGGGGTTTGAGGCATGCTGTGAGTTTGGGTTCATGGGCAAGTCCTCCCCATCCAGCCCTAGTCAGCCTCATAGCCTGCAACCCCTCCATTACTCTTACGTCAGGTTCCTTTGCTCACCAGTGTGAATTTGTGAATGAACTCTTTCCATTCCGAAAGTTTTTTGATACAGTTGTGGCTCACTGATACCCTGAAGGGAGATGTACAGAGGGGATTGAACTGGACACTCCCTGAGGATGAGATGGGACAGGACCTGATGCAGTGGCCTGAAGGACTAGTAGTTGTTGTTAAGTCACTGTTATGTCTGACTCTTTGTGGCCCCATGGAGCACACCAGGCTCCTCTGTCCTCTGCTATCTCCCAGAGTTTGCTCAAGTTCATGTGCATCGAGTCGGTGATGCTGTCTAACCATCTCATCCTCTGCTGCCCCCTTCTCCTTTCATCTTCTAGCTTTCCCAGTATCAAGGTCTTTTCCAGTGAGTTGGCTCTTGGCATCAGATGGCCAAAGTATTGGAGCTTCAGCTTCAGCATCAGTCCTTCGAATGAATGTTCAGGGTTGATTTCCTTTAGGATTGACCAGAGGGCAGGACGAAACTCCTGGGATTGGGGCTGGGATGAGTTTTTAGGGAGCAGTGGGGGGGTCCGAGTTCTACCCTTTTCACTGCTTTGCTTGAAGGCAGCCTGCTCACTGAGACAGAGCCAGGTTTCTGATTCTCCCACAACCTGTCCATTTGAGGCTCACTGGCCACCTTATCCCCAAATCTGCTTCTGTGAGTCACCCCGAGTGACTGCAGGAATGCCCCAAGGAGTAAGGGGACTTACAGAAAAGTCAGGTTATTTCTGAGACAAAGATCACTTATTCCACACCATTTGAGAAAGCTACCTTTGAGTAGAAAGCAGTGGAGTTGGTGATTTGTCACACCCCTAGGAGGTTTCTGTCTTATTTATTTGTTATTTTTGCCTGTGCTGGGTCTTCATTGCTGTGTGTGGGCTTTTCTCTAGTTGCGATGAGTGGGGGCTACTCTTCGTGGCCGTGTGCAGGCTTCTCATTTCGGTGGCTTCCCTTGTGGAATGCTGACTCTAGGGCACTCAGGCTCAGTAGCTGTGACACATGGGCTCTGTTGCCCTGTGGCATGTGAAATGTTGCTGGACCAGGGATCGAACCTGTGTCCCCTGCACTGGCAGGCGGATTCTTAACCACTGGACCACCAGGGAAGTCTGAGGTTTCTGTCTTAACAGTAGATTATACATAGTATGCAAGCATAATACAATTCTATTATTGATATTTGCAAATGCTGTCTGACTATAAAATGATAATGTCATGTCTCCCCATGGGGAGAGTAACAATAAACTAAAATGACAATACCACAAATCTTTGAAAAGATTTCAGGAGTTTGCAAAGTCATTCACTGATGTGTCCCCAAGGCCTGAAATGAATTTGGGCTTGGTCAGGTGGTGGTTCTGAGATACTGCCTAATGGAATTCTTTTTTTTTTTTTTTTTTAATTAGGAATATAACGTGAAGGATAGAGAAAAAACCATTTAAGCTTAAGCACTGTAACTAGTGGAAATTAGATTCTGATGATGAAATCACAAATGATTTTAACAGGGATAAGAAGGGGAATCAGCAAAAGAAGACCCATGAGCTTAGATTTTCAATGAACCCACTGTTTTTGCACATGTATGGGGTACTTGGTGTGTGGTACACGCATGTGAGAATGTCCAGAAGGAGCCAAGTCCAAAATTAGAAGAGATTGTACAGGAATCCCAACCAGCATAAAAGTTGACTGCTTCCTTATTAAAGTCAAGAGGAGGAATAAGGTAAAGACAGGCCCTCTGCTGGGGGGATGGGCAGAGTATTCATGTCACAGAGAAAAAAAAAAAAGCAGCCAATTCCCATTTACTCCCAACTCTGCCTCCCTTGAGAATAGTCCCCAGGCTGGGGAGAAAAAGTAACAAACACATATGGAATGAAATGAAGCTCCCAACAGTAGAGGAGATGGTAATGGAACCTGCTTCCCCAGAGCAAAGTCCATCCTTCACATTTCCCCATCTCGGTTGACTCATGTCCCTGAAATAGTACTTCCAGGGAGAGGCAGTCTACCCAGAGACAGATCCATTTATTAGTCCTAGATTTAAACACAGATAAGGAAACTGAAAGCTGTCCTTTTCAGCAATTTAAAATCAATAAAGACCCACTGGGTAGGGTCTGCTCTTAGCTAAAGATGACAGCTCTGGTAAATGGCTTTGGTGTGACAAAGTGAGGGTTTGAAACAGTCTTATCAGGGTGGAAACAGAGGAAGGAATTTTGTAAGGGAAAGGTAGTATTTTATATTTGGGTTCAACGAACTTAGTCATCCAAGTAGGTAATGGGGTAGCCTGAGATGGGCTTGTGGAGGGGCATGAAGAGGCTGATTTTGCACAGGCTCCCTGTAGACCAGGAGTGCTCACCAAGAAGGAAACATCTGGGGTGGGTCATCAGGATGGAGAGGGTCTGGGGACCTGGGAGCCCAGGGTGTTGAGCCCAGGACCGTCAGCTTTGGGAAGAGTCCAAATACTTGAGAGTTGCCTGAGAGTTAAGGAGGGGACAAAGCTGTATGTCCTGAGGGCAGGCCAAGTGAGAGGGAAGCAGGCCTCGGCTGGCTCTGGGGAGGTTGTGTCTTCCTTCTCAGTGAAAACTTTGTGCAGCCTTGGGATGGCCTCCCTGCAGGGACATCTCGGGGCGGATGCTTCTCCAGGTGGCCTGCAGATCCGCTTTGCCGTGGATGGGGAGTCCACAGAGAGCACATTGGCCCAGGCACTTTGGAGCAAGGGGCAAACTGAGGCCTTCGGCTCAAGTCCTGCTTCTGCCACTCTGCCTGTTACTCTCTACACCTTGGTCCCTTCATTAAACACATGGATCATGGCAATAGTATACGCCTGCTAGGACTCTTGTGAAGTTTATGTGAGTGAAAGCAAGGCCCTTAGAACCACGCCACAGCCTTGCTAAGGGCTGTGTACCAGATAACCTCTGTGATTGTCATCTACCTGATGTCACCACCCCCACCTCCCCAGTCTGTCACACAATTATAATCTACTGATCTCTGGGCTGGGGAAGTAGAGGCGAGTACTTTGGGTCCCTGCCTTCTAGAACTCAAAGCCCAGTGTGGAAGGTGGAGACCCATCACGTGTGAAGAGGGGTTTCGGGCAGCACAGGGCAAGCCTTGGGCAGGGTGTGTATGGCAGGCCAGGGCCTCCTTCCTCTGAAACTAGCTTCTGAAACCCTGACTTGGCTCCAGAGCATTTTCAGGTGTCCCAGGGCTGCTGTCTTGTTAATCCGGCACTCTCCCTGCCTGTTGGCTCTGGGGGTGGTGGCCGTGCTGCATCCCATCAATGCTGGGACTGGCCAGGCTGGCTTGGCAGGTCCAAGGGTCTGGGGTGCCCTAGAGCACCCAGCACAGCAGGAACCCACAGACCCTCTTCCTGAACTTTAGGGCCCCAGATGCTAAGCCCCCTGGGTGCCTCCCCGGGCAGTCATGGCACAGCGTATCCCGGGAGACAGGTGGTATTGGTATCAGTCATCCCCATTTTACAGCTAAGCAAACAGGCTGGGTGGGATCTTAAGTGTCTTATAAAGGGCGGGGCCACGACTTGGACCCAAGGTTTCCAAGGCCAAAATTCGGTGCCATTTCCATACCTCACCCTGGGCAAGACCCTAGGTGACTCACCTGGGAACCCTGCCCTCCAGAGGACCTGGAGCCAGACGTCTGATAACTGACTACTCCAGCCAGGGGAGGGGCCAGAGGGCTCCGAGAGCCCCACCCTGCCAGGCCTGTCTCCTGCTCCCCGGATCCCTGCCTCCTCATGGGATCCCCCGACAAAGCCAGTGCCTGTCTGGGAACCCCAGTTCAGGGGACCCTCCTGCCAAGTGGTCCCTGCCTGCTCACTCTTCAAGGAAACATCTCTCAACTAGTGATCATTTTAGAGAAAGAAGGCAGTAGTTTAGGAAAAAGACCTGTTTTTAAGCAGTGGTGGCCTTTTGTTTTCCCTAAAGACATTTTTAAAAAGAAACAGTTTTAGGTCCACAACAAAATTAAGAGGAAGGTAGAGTTTTCCCATATACACCCTGACCCCACACATACACAGCCTCCCCCAGCACCAAATATTTCCTACTGGATCCATGTATTAGTTACAACTGATGAATCTATGTGGTGGCCTTGCTTCCCCCAGAGTTTCATCTGAACAGACTTGACATTGAAAACAGATATTCTGTGTGAAGAGGACGTGTGGAAACCTGTGCCTGCCCTCCTCTCTCCTGACCCTCTTCTACCACCCCACCCAGATTCTGAAGAACCCGGATGTAGTTTATGCCCCTGATCTGAGATGGGGACAGTTAGCACTACCCTTTGTTAATGAGCTCTGCTCCAGGTTGTGCCTCTAAAACCTGAGTTCCATGTGCCAGGTTTTAAAAAATACATATTGTAAAGCATACACAACACAAAATTTGCCATTTTAACCATTTTTTGAGTGTACAGTTCAGTGACATTAAAGTACATTCACATTGTTATGCAACTATCACCACTATCCATTTCCAGAACTTTTTCATCATCCCAACCAGAATCTCTCCACTCATTAAACAATAACTCCCATCTTCCCTCCCCCTAGATTCTGGCAGTCACTATTCTACTCTGTCTCTGTGAATTTGTCTATTCTAGGTGCTTCATAATTGGAGTCATACAGTATTTGTCTTTTTGAGTTTGGCTTATCTCACTTAGCATAACGTCTTCAAGGTTTAGGCATGTGGTAGCATGTGTCAGATTTCCTTCCTTTTAAAAGTTGAATAATATTCCATTCCGTGGTATGTATATGCCACATGATTCTATGTTTAATTGTTTGAGGAAATACCATACCATTTTCCACAAAGGACATATCATCTTACATTGCCACTGAAATTATACAAAGATTCCAGTTTCTCCATGTTCTTGCCATCATGGCAGGGTTTTTAATCTCTTGTTCATGATTGTGTCCCCAGAGACTAGGACAGTGCCCAGCACATAGTTCACTTCAGTTCAGTCGCGTCTGACTCTGCGCGACCCCATGGACTGCAGCACGCCAGGTTTCCTTGTCCATCACCAACTCCCAGAGCTTACTCAAACTCATGTCCATCGAGTCAGTGATCACACCCAACAGTCTCATCCTCTGTCATCCCCTTCTCCTTCTGCCGTCAATCTTTCCCAGCATCAGGGTTTTTTCCAATGAGTCAGTTCTTTGCATCACATGGCCAAAGTATTGGAGCTTCAGCTTCAGCATCAGTCCTTCCAATGAATATTCAGGACTGATTTCCTTTAGGATTGACTGCACATAGTAGGTACTCAGTAAATAGTTGTTGAGTTGGATGAATGGGAGGCTTTGGTCTCTGGGCACCTGTGGAGCCCTTGTACTTGTCAACAGAATCTTCCCCTTCTAGTCCCTAAACTCCATGCGCAGAACTGTGTACCTACTGCTTTCCCTCTCCTCTTCCACTGTCTGAATTCCTCTTTTATTGGCATGTAATTGCTTTACAATGTTGCACTAGTTTCTGCTGTACAATGAAGTGAATCAGCCATGTGTATACATAGATCCCCTCCCTCTCCGGCCTCCCTCCAACCTCACCCCACATCCCACTCCTCTAGGTCACCACAGAGCACGGAGCTGAGTTCCTTGTGCTCTACAGCAGGTTTCGACTAGCTGTCTGTCTTACACATGACCATGTGTATATGTCAAAACCCATCTCCCAATTCTTCCCACTCTCCCCTATCTCCCTGTGTCCATATGTCTGTTCTCTGCATCTGGATTTCTATTCCTGCCCTGCAGATAGGTTCATCTG